CCTAAACTTTGCATCCCAGTGATTTCCCTAAATTATAAAAAACTTTCCACCCCTTAATTTTGCCGCTCGGTGCTCTCCCAAATTGTAAAAATTTCGTCTTCCCTAAATTCTGCCGTCCAAAGCCAACATATTCTGCCACTGCTTCTGGGTTTATGGTGAATAAATAACATGTCAGTTATTTTTAATTAAAATAGCACTAAATGTAATCTTTTGGCCTATGAGTTTCATTAAAAAAATCTATTTTTAGCATATAAAAAGAAATTTTTGTTGAATTTTTCCTCGTCAACATTTCTTAGAGCATTTAAAAATCTATAATCATTGCCAAGTGTAATGTTAGCACAAAAAGTTGTCATACTCTTGTTAATCAATTACTAATATAAAAAAAGTTTAGACATCACTGCATGAGTTATTACTGCAGCTGTCATGTATTTATAAACATGCAGTGATGAAAGCAAAATATAATAAATAATGACTCGCCAGGTCGTGGTCAAGGATATAAAATAGGTGAATGTTTCGGCAAGCGCGGTAAAGGGAACGGAACATTTGAGATGTATGCCAAGCAGATACTCAGCTACGGAGTCAAATTATTAATCTCACAAATTCATGCTTACATGAGTTTTTTTTTCCATAACGAGGTAGTTTATTTAGTGCCTAAGTGAAATTAAGAATCGGAATTTTTAAATGAAAATCTCCACGTTATAATATGGAAAGAAAAATCAAATGCGCATGCGTAAAGCATACAAAAAAAGGGGGGAGGGGCGAAATTTGTGTCCGTGAGGTCCGGATTCTGGATTTTGGACTTTGTACTGTATTAGATTTATGTATAGAATTGTTTTAATACAGTCAAAAGTCTTTAATCTGGACTCATCGGGACTTTGGCGATTCCGGATTATCGATTTTTCCGGATTATAGATCATCAGTTTAAATCTGGTAAGATGATAGCATGCAGAAATTATAAAATTAAAAATATGAAACCGTAATTTATGAAATAAAGAGCAATTATAATCTAAAAGGTATTAAAATTTACAAAAAAAGAAGCTTAATATTTATTTATTTACTTTATTAAACATTTCTTTCAACGCGCGCATGCGTAAACCTTACGCATAGTCCGAAATTAGAAAATTGCAACCAGAAAACTATTTGATTTGTATTCGTGATATTTATAATGACGAGGAATTTGATTTAAATCATATCAAAGATGGAGTACATTGAGATTAAATACTACATTTAGTAAGGAATTGTAAGCCGAATAAAATAAAAACATCTGCCCTGAAGATAACGATAGTGTTGACAGATCAACTTCCAGTTCATTGCGCGCCGCGATGCCCCCCCCCCCCCGCGCACAGAGCAGCGTGAAATTGATAAACAGATTTCAGAATGGTTAGATAAACAAAGGATATACCTTTATCCATTTTTTGTAGCAATTCATTTTTTGTTTGATGGACATCGAAACATACTTTCGTTTTCTAGATCCTTTGGGAGCTCCAGCATCGGAAATTCTATTTGACATAATCGAAAGTTCAAGCTTACTTTTATAAAATTGCTCTTACAGTCTGCAAAAAATAATAAGCCGGATCCAATTCGAAGATTAAGGAACAATGCAATCATCAACATTAACTGAAATAGATAATTAGATAATTTTAGCTTATACCGTCCATTATACATTAAACGGCACGCGAAAACGTATTCTGCGCTTGTGCAGACGCATATGCGCAGTCGTAAATGTCTTGCGCGCACGCATAAAACACCTATGAGCATGCGTCAATGCGGCGCATGTGCAGAAAGATTTTAGCTTTGAGGTCCGGATTATGGGTGACCGAATTAACGACTTTTGACTGTATAGATGTTTTAACAACAATAACAAAAAAAAAAAAAAAAAAAAAAAAAAAAAAAACGGATTTTTTCCTGAAATGACACATAAAATCTTTTCCATATTTTGATTCTTCAGATCAAATTATGTCAAACTGCCAAGTTTGTAAAAATTGCATTTTTTAAAAAATTAGCTCTAAAAATTAGCTCCCCAGATTTGATTGAATTTTCTAATATCTCTTTTTTTATTATACTTATTTGAATTTTCCTTTCACATTTCAAAATTTGGGTTCATTCCAAATAAAATTTGCCCATTTTTTTGTCTTATTTTTAAAATTGGTATTTTTAAGTAGTTTTTATAATTTTTTCGAAAAAAAATTGGAATTATAGCCTATAAAATTTTTAACATCATCCTAAATTAGATGTAGTTCTAGGCACACCTGCAGAAAATTAGTTTTTTATTCAAAATTTCCTAAGGTATATATGAATTTACATAATGGCACATTCTGAAATTTGGCATGTTTGTTAAAAGCGATAATAATGCCAAATGTGTTTATGCACTTTTTTAAAATTATTTGAAAGCATGATTGATGACTTTTTTCCACTTGTCTACAATGCAAAAAGGAAAAGGGAAACAGGTTGCTATAAATTAAGGAGTTCGCCATGTGAATTATTCTTGGCACAAACGTGAAAAAGATGCACCAAAATAAATTTCTTAATTTCTACATAAATTTCATGCTCCAAATTTTATAAAATTTGAGGCATAATATCTAAATTTGAGGCATAATTGAGGCATCTAGGCATAATTTGTGTCGAGAATCGAAATATGGAAAAAACATTGGCATGTCATTTCAGAAAAAGTCAGATTTTGTGTCAAAATACCTGTTTTAAAACAATGCTACGTATAAATCTAACATATATCCTAAATCAGCCTTTCGAGACATGAAAAAGGCAATCTGAATTCCGTCAGTCGGCCCAGTAAAATGGGAGATATAGAGCTGCTCCCGTTCGACTGGGCCGACTGACGCCTGGGCCCCTTCTACTGGGCTGCCTTTTTTTTCGCAGTGAACATCCATCTCATTTAAAATCAAGCAGCATTCAAGCTTTGGATATAACAACGGTTTTAGATGAAATTGTGCCTACGAAAGAAAATTTACATATAATTTCTTCTTTGTAAACGTTTAAAACTGTTCTGAAAAATATTTTTGATGAATTTGTATTTTCTAAAATTTTAAATCATGTATTAAAATTCTCTTTAGCAAATATTAAAATGAAGCTTAAGAATGCTCTCTCTCTATGGGCATCATTAAAATGCAAAGATTTAAGAAATTATCTTATCAGACTTGACTTTACACTGCAGGTATAAAATGGATTGCATGTATAAGTCGGAGATTTTTCTTCCCAGTTAATGTAAACAAAAACCAATTTTACAAAGAAAATTCTCTTTAAAGATATAGCCTTTGGCTTATAGTCCAATGTAATATTTATGAAAGTTAAATAATCAAACACAACTTATGATTTTCTTATAATAACAATTATGGAAAAAAATAATTTAAACCTTTATTATTGCTATACGTTCATCTCAAAATCTAATAGTAATGAATTTTATTCTAATCGTCAAGTAGTAATGATCATCTTATTAATGAATTTATTATTATTTCATTAAATTATCCATTACTATTATTTTATTAATGAAAATAGATTATCAAAAATTGCATTTCAACCTGAAGACCTACAAAGCTAGTTTATATTTATTATATTTTGCAAAGTTCTGCTCTTGTTTCCTAATGTCTAATACAAAAATATGGAAATATAAGTGAAGTGTGAAAAAAAAGTTCATAAAATTTGCTAATTATTATAAAAAATTAATCAGAAATAATAAGTGTTGTATAAACATTACATACATTTTGCTCTAAATAAATAATACAGGTTAGTTTAAATTAAATCAAAACTTTAAAAAACCTCAAATTTAGCAACCTATTCTAGACTACTCAACACCATCCGACAAACATTTAAATTTTATTGCATCTATGGAGGGGACAAATGACCACTCTAGTGACTTTTCTGAGTAGGAAAAAGTCCAGGAATGGGAAAAATATTTTGGAATGTGCAAGTCTGAAGACTATACTACTAGAGTTTCTGCCTGGTTTTAGGAGGTTGATGATAAAAAAGGTATGAACCACATTAGGTTTCATATGTTTTCTATACAACTGCTCCAGTCAGTAAAGGGCTATCACAGATTTAGTAAAAATGATCAAATACTAAATACTTTGATTTACTAATATGTGTGCCAAATATGTATGCATAATACTTGCATGCAAAAAATTATTTTTTTAAATTTGCATTTTTCTCTAAAATTTCTCTTGAATAATTAAAGGCCTCTTTCATTGTTATTTAATCCAACTTCCACCTCCCTCCTGGTAAAATATTTGTAACTGTACTACATTAACTCTAGGACCATCTTATTACATGAGAAAATTTGTTTCTTCATCTTAATAAAATTTAAAAACAACCTCTGAAAGTGTCTTAATATTTCGGAGGACATTATACAAACATTAATACTGAATATCAGTTTCTTAAGTAATCATTTTCACAGAAGATTGAATTATTTGGAACCATTGGATAATCATCTTTGACAGATTTCATTATATTTAATTTCCATTTTAATCTCTTAAAACATATGGTGTTTTGCTCAACAAACTAATTTTTCTGTTCAGATTGGTGTATTTTCAATTTATGTTATTCCCCAATATTTTTCTTATTTCCATTTTAAAATTTTAATCTCTTGAAACATGTGCTAAAGTTTTAATCTCTTGAAACATGTGCTGTTTTGCCCAACAAACTAATTTTGCTGTTACTACTGGAATATTTTCAGTTTATATTCTCTCTCCAATGTTTTTTTTTTATCAAAAAAATATCCTTTCTTAAGAAAACATGCTCAGAGCTTACGCAAAAAAGTTTGTTTTTAGTTTAAAGTTTACATGAGCTCTGTGAATTAATACATCAAATTAGTTATTGCTGTAATTCATAATTCTGTTTAAAAATTTTGAAAAGAATTTTTTATAAAAATATTGAAAATTATATTATTGTTGTAAATATGGGAATGTTTGTTACACAGATAAATTTTTTTAATCATATGACCATACATGTGTTCCTTTTTTGGTGATTAATTTATTTTTTTTATCATACAGAAAATGCGCAAGGCAAATCTGAAGAACAAAAAATTAGAGCTGATTATGAGAAAAAGCTTTCTTCATTAAAAAATGATGTAAAGAATTTTGAATCTGCCAAAAAGCAACATGTGAATTATATGAAAACACCATCTAATTCAGATGCTCGACTGAAACGATTGAAACAGGAAGTAATAGAAATGAAGCAAGCAAAGGTATCAAAGTCGTGTTTTGAATGTTTAAATCTTATTGTAAAATAAACTTTTGCAATTAATTGGAAACTTTTAACTTTTACGTTTTAAATATAAAGTGCAATCTTTTAATGTAAATGTTAATATTACTTTTTTATATGATTTTTTTTTACGACGTTAAGACTCCAGAGAATAAGTAAAAATAAAATTTCAAAGGAATAGTTGTTATGTGTAGTAAATAAATAAAATAATAATAAATCCTTTTGTATGCTATGCGTTAAAGAAAATGCCAGCTGTAAAAGAATGCTCAAACTGCAGTTTTAGGTAGGAATACAGGCATAAAATTGATGTAATTTAATTTTCACCTATAGACCATGCTCCAACGATCCAAGTACAGAATAATCATTAAGAAATGGGACTTGCAACTTTATATATGTTGTTGAACTTGCTAATGAGATCAGTTCAGTAAATATCTGAATAATCTATTGGTATGTCTTGTGCCATGCAGTGTTTATTTGAGTCTAAATTCAAGTTTCTTTTGTAGGCATAGGAGAAAATTCAACTAATGTACAGTTCTATCTATCAAATTCTCATATGGTGAGAGACAGGGCATCAGGCTGGCCAGGATAGCACTTACATACCTTATAAACCATTTAAACTGATCTAATATATATATATATAATTAGTTTTTATCTTGTTAAAAATTTATGTTTAAGTTGTTTTCCAGGTATGGTAGTCTATGTTCTGCATCAACATGGTGACATACTGTTAATCTGTTGTAATGCATACTTGAGTTGTTGTTTATACTGTTGTTTATACTAATAGCAATAAGCTGTGTGGCACTGTAAGACAGCAGAGGAATTTGCCAGATTTGCAGATGGTCATCATTATTGATGAGTCAGAAATGAGATTTTTTGCTGGACATTTTCCCATTCTGCACCTCATGGAACACAAATGCAATAATTGATGTTATTTAGTAGTGTTGATGATTGCTCACTCTTGAGCATAACTTTGATAATGCAGCACGTCTTAGCAACACGTCTGTTACAGCCATTTGATATTACATTGTCTGTGTTGATATATGATTATTGAAAACTTCCTGTAAACCACTTCACAAAATATTGTTGGCAATGGATTTTTTAACGTTTATTTTTTCCTTGGGATCATTGTCTCCGTACTCAGCTGATGGTTGTGATATCATGTCACCTTTTTTTCTTTAATGCAACATAAGGGTCACATCGCAGTATGGAGACCATTGATGAAAGCTCTTGTGAATGTACCTGTTTGCTGAAATTGCATACATTGGCAGTCTAAAGGCTTGGGAAAACTTTTTTGTTCTTCAAACATAATAACTGAAAAGACACACTCTTTTTATGACTGTGAGGATGTCTTCATGTGCTGGTTATCTGCTTAGATGCTTATGCACACAGTATATGATAAAACAGAAGTTATAATCATTTTTAAAACTTGCACGGAATATAATAATAATAATAATATATAATCATTTTAAAAACTTGCATGTATTGTATGTGCTGTGCAGTTTGCATGGTGCTGCATTAACAATTTCATGATGTGGCATTTTCTTTGTTGGGCAAACTAAATTCATAATTTTATGATAAAACTTTAAGTTAGATATTTTCAAAATGTTATACCACATTTTACTTACTTTCATAAATGTTGCATTTCTGCTGTAAGAAATATACTATTTCAATATATAGCATTGAAACTTGTCATCTTTAAATGATTCTTTAAATGATTTATCTTTAAAAACAAAATTCAGCTTTAGTTTGACATTTGAAATAAAATCACTGATATTCTGAAGTTGAAGACTGTGGGATATCAACTACCATTCAGTTCTACCTTCTTTCTGCCATTATTAAAGAATATCTGTTGCATATTTTTAAATTTCTATGCTAGTACTGTTTGTTAGACACATCTTGAAAAAAAAAAGGCCTAATGTTCTCACTCTGTTTTATGTAGGTTCAGTTGCTTTCAAAAATGAAAGAAGAAGCTAAAAAGTTCAGAGATGCTGAGCAAAAGAAAAATAAGGAAATAGCACAATTAAAAAGAGAAAAATTAAATAAGGAAACTCAGATTAGAAATCTTGAAGCAGAGAAAAAGCACAAAGATAATATTCTGAAGCGCAAGACAGAAGAGATTTTAAGCTTACGCAAAAAAGCAGTTCCAAAATATGTGTCTCCTAAAACTGCTGAACGGTGGAAACTAGGTATGTTTTTAAAATTAATGTTACTCATAGTTTTTACGATTTTCAAACTGATGTCTGATTTAATGAAATAATTTTTTTAGGCCAATTTTCCCTTAAGTCAGCTAAGCAAAAATGGCAGAATTTGGAGAAAAAGGTAATGCATGCATTTTCTAAAGAATATATTTTCCACTTATGATTTTGGCTGCTAAGTTATAAAATATGCCTTTTCTATGAAGCTTAATGTAGTTTTTAAACTAGGTGCTCATGTACAAGATCTGTTAAAAAAAGTTTCTGAATTTTTTTAGGGTGCTTAACATCTTATTCAGGCTTTTTATTTTCAAAATAGCCCTACTTATTTACTATATCATTGCCGTATCTTTAAGGAATCCTGTTATACTTTTTTGTGTCTTGCATATCCCTGCTTATTAATTTTCCTTAATGTCACGAATTCTGTTGAACCTTCATATTTTATAAATAAATTTTATTAATTTCAGAAATAACAAAAAGTGAAATTGGGCTAGGTAGGTGAAAGGAAAGGCTGGATAAACATTCTTAGCTTCATTTTTACTTCCTTGTACGAAGTAAAAAGGAAGTATTATAATCGTGAAAAGTTTCAGGCAGCATATTTCAACGAAAATATCCATTTTGACCGCTATTCAAATGACCATCTTAACGATGTTTTTGCGGGTGTATCTGTACGTACGGACAGAATAAAAAATACTCTTTCCCTTCAAAAAATTATAAAACTGCTTTAAAATTAATTCTGAAGAGAATTTTTCGTGGGGGTCTGTACGAACGTACGTACTTACATACGTATCTTGCATAACTCAAAAACGAGTAGCCTCAGAACGTTGAAATTTTTGTATGTAGGACTGCTATAACATGTAGATGTGCACCTCGTATTTTGGTTGCAATTGGCCGCCGCACCAAACGTATATAAATATATTTTAAATATATCCACTCTATTACCCGGCTCAGTGATCTCAGTTTCTTTACTCTTATATGTTTGTAAATTGTAAATTTTTTGCTTTAAAAATGATTGAATTATGTTGTTTTTATCTTCCGGTTAAGGATTTCATGCCTTTAGTAAATCTGTATGCAATATTAGAATTATCAGCAATTTTGTTTAATTGTTGATTTTGTTAAGTTGTTTAATTTTGTTTTGAGCAATTTTGTTAAGTTGTTTAATTGCTGCTAAGCCTGTTTTTAATGGCGGCCATTCATGTTTACATTTGAAACAGGAGACTAGTGGATTTGTTGCCAATCTAGAGAAACTTAGCTTCGCAACAACAAAGATAATGCATTCATTTATTATTGCCAATTAAATCATGCTTAATTCTTTCTGTAATTTCTTCGAGGAAATAAGCGTTTGAAATTTACTTCGTAATTTTTAATATAGATATTTTGAGTTTTTATGTATTTTTGCCTCCTTGTGAAGTGAGAACTGAATTATTTAAATGAGAAATACTCAATCGTCTGTGAAAAACTGTTTCTTTTTGTTTTGTTTGCTTAATTTCTTTTATACATAGTTCTAGCTTTATTATAGTATTTGAATAGAACACGTGGAAACGATTAGATAATTCTTTAAATGATACACATTTTATGCATTCTGAGTTATAATATGAATGAAATATAATACTGTTAAGTAAACCTAGCACCAGAGTGTCGCTATGGTAAACAAAGTGAATTTTAAAGAATGCATTTATTCTATTGTGGTTTATGCGCTGTCGGCGAAAGTAGGTTTAATTCAATCTAATAAGTTTAAATAAAATACAAGAAAAAATGAGTATAATTTAATATTCCGTACAAGGAAGTCATGTGGTGTACACATCAGATTTTTTAAGAGAAGTTATGAAACTTGTACAGTAGCACTGCTGTCATACAAAAGCAAGGATTTATTTCTGTACCACATGGGCTTTTTCTATTGATATTTTGTCATAATTATTTCAGTGCTGTCAACTCAGATAACGAACATGCAATTTCATTAACTTAGACCATGTAAATATTAATTAATATGAGGCCATTCTATAACAGGTGGTTGATTGTCAACTATCTTTTAGTTACTTGTTACTTAATTAGTGTCAATATGCAGTTTTAATTTTAATAAACTGATGTATTTGCTTCCTGATAAAAGTTCAGAGTTTAATCGCCATTTGTACATTAATATTACTCTTATTGTTTATCCTTATAGTTGTTTATCAAGCTGATTTTTAAGTTACAAATATGTAATTTGTTTTAATGTAGTCTTACTGTAACATAATAATTAGATCTAAATAACTTTTCTATTTTCAGATTAATAAATTAGCATTAAACAAACAAAGTGTAGCAGCTATAGAAAAAGATATGAATCGTTGGTTAAAAGTAAGTAATATGTTATGCTGCAGTAAGCCTTTTAATCATGTTAATTCCTTGAGAGTTATCTCTAATACTCAAATGAATTTATGATTTATTTTGCAATGTTTTTGAAAAATAATTTTTTTTTGCTATAATAATCAAATATAGTTAATTTTGTGTTATAATCTGTTTTACTCCTATTTCAACCTTTTTGCTGTGATTCAGAAATATATCTTAGTGAATATACTGACTGTATAAGGTATTTCTCCCGCTCTCTTAGCATGCCTTCATGGTGTGATTGTCAGCACATTCAGCGCATACTCAAGAGATCTAAGATTTGACTCCCGGTGAGAACATTGCTAATTTTTCATGTCTTCTGCTTTGAAATAATCTAATGTATCTACAGTGGCGCCTGAACTAAAAAAAGTGGTGGATGATGATTCTCCACACCTGGATTTGGCGACTAGGTCCCGTAGTCCCCATCGCCCTTTAAAAAAGGTAGTACATAATACCTCTTGGTACATAAGGTATTTCTCCTGCCTTCGTGTGTAATGGTCAGCACGCTCGATGCGTATTCAAGAGGTGTAAGGTTCGAGTCCTGGCAAGAGCATTGCTCATTTTTCATGTCTCCAGTATATATATATATATATATAATCTTAATGTCTCTACAACTGTAGTTTGAATGTACTGAGCTAAATAGCTGAAACAAAATAAAATCAGATGTATGTAAACAAAATTTAACAATGGTAAAGCACATATAAAAGAATAAAAACATTGAATTTTGGATCTTGTGGATATATCATCGATGCATGAAACACTTTGTTTGGAAAATAATAATTAAAAAAAATATTTTACGAATATCAAAGCACCAAAATGATGTTACAATAGAAGATCATACTGCAAGGAGAAATATTTATAGAGTAGAAACTAGTTTAAAAGTTTCCATATTCCTTTTTTGACGGTTATTTGATCTATTTCTTCTGGTATCAGAAACTTGCATTACTAGAATTCATCAACTGCAGCTTGGAATAAATAGCTGTGAAATTGTTGATGGAAATAATAACATGCACTTTTATGTCTTTTTTATTTGTTTTGGATTTAATTAAATAATTTTTCTTTTCATGAATCTTTATATATCATTTGAGCTACCATTCCTATGTTTTGCTAGATTTAACACCAATATTTATGTTTAAGGTTGGTGCCAGGTTGGGTAGCATTAATTAAAAAGCACTGTTTATATAAATATCTTAATTCTCCTCTCATTTTTGATAATAAGGATTTTGATTGCATTATGCAAACCGTGAAAACTTGATTAAATGTGTTCCCCCTCCCCCATAGTAGGAATTTTGATTGGATTACGAGGCAATAGAAACATTCATTGTTTGGTTTAATGTTTTTTCATTTAAATATAAGCTTAGTGTAGTTTTAAAATGATAAAACTGTGTTTTTATGTATTTAAGTCATTATAAATTCTAAAATATATTGCAGTATTGTGATAGTCTTTTAATTGAAACTTTCAAAATATAAAAATCTCATTATAGTTTAGACGGAAAAGCCTGAGAATATATATGTATGATTAATTCGTTCATAGGTGCCTAATTAAATAATTTAAGATATTCATCTGAAAAGAAATTGTCATTATGTTTGAAAAAATGAATGTGTAATTACAGTAAATTATTCATTAAGTTCATGGGAAAAATCAGAAATGTATTTCTTCCAGAAATTTGAGAAAATTACATTGTACTTGAATAATATTACCTTGAATAATAAAAAAATTGACAATATTAAAAAATGCATTGCCTGTGACACCAGAACATTGTAACTAAAGAATTGTAATAGGATTGAAATATGATGTAAAGGATTATTAATGTTAGTAAATATTTGTGCTGCTTAATGATTGTGTTTTAATACTTCAGTTATAATGAAAATGTAACATAGCATAATCATTGCCAGATTTTAAATAATTTGTATGAAAGCTCAATGTACATCTCAAAGCATAAATCAAATTTAGAATTCTTAAAACCACTTGTGGGTTTAAGCGTAGACAAGAATGTGACCAAAAGTTGCTGTAAGTTTAAGCAATTATTTGTTGTGTATATAAAAGCATGTAGTATTTTTTTTTTAAAACTGAAATTACAGTGGATATTTTAAATAACTCGGTGAATCTTCCGAAGAAGAATGGTCTCGAACTCATGGGCCAAATGCCTGAAAACAATTGATGAAGATATTTTTATATTAACAAAATGAAAAACTTTTACTAACAAAATAAAATATTTAAAATAAATTTTAAATGTTGTGTACTAAATATTCATCAAAGCATATGTTAAAACAATAATAATATGCACAGTAAAAAAAAATCAGTAAGTCATATATTTTCTATCTGAAATCTAAAGTTTGGTACATATAGATGTTTTTGTTGGTTACATTTTGTGATTTAAATATGTGGACAACTAAATAATAAATTTATTTCAAATAATTGTATATATTTAATTAATAATAAATTAACTTATTTGAGTTAAAGCTAAAAATTTAAAATTCTGAAAACTTTCAAAGTTTTCAGAGAAAATTTCCCAAGTGCTGCAAAACTTAAGAAAAAAATAATGACAGCCTATAGTCTATTTCTCTTATTTATTCAACTTTTCTTCGACACATAAATAAAAGTACATCTGTTTATATGTAAATAATTACAAACTTCTTTATTTCTTACCATAGTTTGATGTTTGATGGCATTTAAATTCTGATAAAGCTGCTTTGGAGAGAAATTCTTACAAATTATAAGATAAAGCTTTAAGTATATGTGGAAATTTACTTATTCAGGGCTCAGATTAGTTTGAAGCATGTGCATAAAATAAACTTAAGTGTAGTAAATAACTAATACAATTCAGGCTTAATTCAATATGTAATAGGAGCAAGACAAAATGTAGCGAAACAACTTAGCTTGTCGACAATTTTGTGATACTCAGCCAGTAATGTATAATGAATGCTGTTCAGCTAGGCTAAAATTATCTTATTATTATAAGACAATTATTATTATAAGACAATTATTATAAGACATTTCAATTTTATGTAGCAGACTGCGCTGCTCCCTGATCTTCAATTTGATCCAGCTTATTATTTTTTGCAGACTGTTATTATTACGACAATTTTATAAAAACTAAGCTTTCGATTATGTTGAAAAGAGTTTCCAATTCTGGATTACAAAGGACCTACAAAGCGAAACCATGTTTCAATGGGTGGAATTGCGGCAATTTTATAAAAACTCAGCTAGCGATATTGTTGAAAAGAGTTTCCAGTCTGATTTGCCACAAGGACCTACAAGCAACCATGGGCAACGCAGTAAAACAAGTAATTGCTGGGCAGAGAATGGTACAGTCAGCCTGGCTCAAATTATGCAGGAGTATCCGCGTTGGTTCCCACTGGAGATACCAAGAGGGGCGAAGTAAACTGTATATGAACAAAAAGGAACTTTTTGAATTTTTGGGAAGCATCTAAAAACTTACAAAAAGAAATGTTTAATATAAGAAATAAATATAAGTTTTTTTTTTTTGTTTTTTTTTTGTTTTTTTTTTTTTTTTTTTGTTTTTTTTTTTTTAAATTTTGATACCCTTTAGATCATAATTGTTCTTTATTTCATAAATTACGGTTTCATATTTTTAATTGTATAATTTCTGCATGCCATCTTACCAGAATAAAATTGATGATCTATTATCCCGAAAAATCCCAAATCCGGAATCGCAGAAGTCCTGACTAGTCCATATTTTGGACATTGTACTGTAATAAAGTTTTAACTGCATTTGAACAGTACACAACACCTAAAGGAAGTGTTATTATGGAATGATTTCTATTCAACAACTATATACAATAAGAAAGCAAAAGTTTAGATAGCTTTTTGCATCCATTTAAGAAAAATGGTGATATCTTGTGAATTTGGGGATCAAACTGATAATATTGTAAGAGACAGAATCATACTGGACATTACTGACAAGGTGCTGCAAGAAAGAATTTTAAGAGAAGTAGGTCTTCCTTGTATCTTGGATAGTTGTAGATATATATAGAATGGCTGAAGTAAAACTCAGGCTCAAGTTGTGCAATCCAAAAGTGTTGATGTGAAAGAAATCTTTATCAAGGATACATGACTTTAACACTAATATCGGTTTTCGGAATTCATATGGAAGTATCCATCGTTGCGAGAGATGCCACTGGAAAAAACACAGGTGTGGAGAAAGCAAATCTTATAGAATAGTGGAATAAACTAAATAGTTTTACTTCATGTTTTAAATACCATAATATATCAGGGTTCATACGGTCCTTAAGAGTCCTTAAAAGTCCTTAGGCTTTTTGGAATCGATTTTTGGTCCTTAATTTTAATCATCTGAAATTTCTGTCTTGTTTTTACTACTGCTATTTTGAGTGTGAATTATCATTTTGGAGGAAAATTTTTGGCGATTCACAAATATGATTATTTTTTGAATGGTTATGGGTGAATGGGTTAAATTTGTCCTATTTCTAATATAAAGGGTGGGATACTGGAGTTTCTGAGCAAGCAGTCAAACATAAACATTTCGATATAATTTCATTTTTTTCCCTAGTGAAGAGCTCTTAAACAACTTTGTGCTTTTGGGGATGTGAATTTTTTTATTAAACGGCTCAAAATTGGTGACTTCTGATACAACATTTCGGCAATTTTAAGATCAATTTCTATAGAAATTTTTTTTAATTCGGAGATATGGGAATTTTTTGGCAGTTTTTTTTGGAAACGTTATAACATTGATAAATTTAACTAAAATAATGGTAATATATTTAAATTACATTTAAGGAATAACATTAAAAAATTAATTTTCTTTTGCTGTCATATTATAAAGTGGCATTACTTTCCATTTTGGCGACATATTATATAATATTTTGAATCTGGAAAGTAAGGTAATAAATGTTATAAAGCACAGTTTACAAAACAGTTCATAGCAAAAGCAAAATAGCTGTGTCATTAATTAAAAATTTCTTCCTTTTAATTTTTTCATGGTAAGAATTTTTCCCATGTAATTGTTTCAGAATTTTCAAAATATGCATCAGTTTTTTCCTACAGAATTAATTTTACACATTTTTCCACTGATTTTATTTTTTCAATATATTTCTGGCCTTTTTTCTGTTACAGAATTGGTAGGGCTAATTTTGTAGGATTTTAGACATTGCAACTTCTAAAGTTTAGAAGGATCTGAAGGCAAGATTTACAGACCCACAATTCTAGAAGTCTCCAGAGAAATGTGACAAAATGAAAAATGTCTTCATTGTACTAACACATAACGAATGTATTTTACAGAAATTTTTGTGAGGAATTTCTTATATTTTGAAGAATTTTTGGAAGGACAATAATTACATAATATTTGAATGTTGTCTTCTGATACTAGAAGTCTTTTTTCGTAAGATGTTTATCTTCCCTTTATTTTCTCAACTTTTCACTAGACACAAACATGGAAAATGTCAAAAATGCTTCTAATCTTTTCGTATGGAAAGGCATTTGTAAAAAAAGAAATTTTCTGTTAATAAAGAAATTGAAAACTGACAATTTAAACGATTTACCTTATATGTCTCAATGCATCATAGATAGGGCTGGCGCTTAGTCATTTTTTTTCAC